GGAGCGTGAACACTACGGCAAGCCGATGACTTTAACAGGGGTGGGAAAAACCCTTACTCGGGGTTATCGGCTTGCTTTGAAATCTTTCATATATCTCAAGGGCAGACCTGAAACTGGAGTTCTATGTGCTGTGTTTATAGTTCATACCTTATATTGCAGCTTAACGCCAATGTACCGAAAGAAACCCGCACGAAGCTTGAGTCATGGTCGATACAGTAATGAGATGCGAAGGATATCAGTACCAAAATGGCGGGTGGAAGCTGCTGAGACGATGTCAGTAAAAAGTCAAGGTGAGTACCCTTTGAGTTCATGGCAGGCCATGCGATCACGTGGTTATTGCGCTCAAAAGTGGAAGTACGGTGGTGGACGAGTTCAACGAGTCACTTGGGGACGGTATTGGAAATAGCTGGGACGAGAGAGCATTGAGGACACGTGAGACGCAGACATTAGCATAGGTGCGTAGGTGTGTACAGGTACATGTTACACCTGGTGGAGTCCTTGACGTGCACTTTCGGGCCACTATAATGGCACCACAACTGCGGCTGCAGATCTGGTCATATTACTCACTATAGCGATAGTTTCAGTGGTTCTACTCGCAGAATTTTCTTGCCAACATTCTCATAATCTTGGAACACCCAAGAAGAATTTCAAAACAAAGGACGGGGGTAAAAGTGGTGTGAGCATGGCGTGTTCATGGCACTCCATCGCCGAGAGTTGGTCATTCGGTTCATGGGTGATCCCCGCTCCAAGTGTGCCGCCCACGCTTCAAAAAAACCCCAGCCTTCGAGCCGAAGAACAATTTAGATATATTTCGTCCTATAGTAATTTTATTTTTGCTGTTGATGACTTCTATTCAGGAGGAAGTATTTATGGCCGTGGCACACTGACTACCCCTGATTCCGCAGAATCGTTCCTGTTGCCACCTACTCCGGACCGGAAGCGAAGTCGTAGCTTATGTGGCGTACAAATGGCGCAGGATGCACAGGTTAGCTGCAAGCTACCTAAAATAGAGGTTTTCACCTTGAAAACTAGCTCACTTTTATGCTCTAAAAATTAGCAAATTTTCTATGCTAACCTTACATAGCAATTGGCGTTCGCCCGTGAATGCCACGAAATTGACCCATGATTTACCCCTGAATCCTCCGTCACCCCTGATCTGGGGCTGCTGTTGACATTTAGCAGCAACTTCTTGACCCCTCTCCACTCCACCCCCCCCCCTCCTTCTCCACTCCCTCGTGTAGTCGATGCATACTCTGGAGAAGGAATGTAAGATTGAGATACGAAGATCGGGTGATGGTAAGAACACCCAGTGGTGAGACTGACATACGTAGAGTCGAAGAGAGGTCATAAGGGGGGGGGGACCCGATTATATTTATAGGCGTTATGTTTTTGGTCAAGTTATCAATCGAATATATGTTTTAGAAGTGCGGTCTTTTGAAAAAAAAATTAATATTTCCATTTATTATGGAGTAAAAGTATCTTTAATTATTAATTATTATAATTAATTATCAAGTTGTAAGTATTCATAACTTAGTAAATTTGAATTATAAAAGTTGATACGGTGTGATAGTAGGTCTTTGGGGTGACGTGGGGGGGAGGGGTCAGCTGACCTCAAATTTTTCTCCAACGCAGTGGTTGTTCCTAAACGGGTGTGGGGTTTTCTGGAGAAACCAGCTGAAGTACTAACCATTTTTTGGAAAAACTAGCTGAAGCGTTTTAAAGCTCACAATAATGGCACCAAACCTCGCTGTGACTATGCAGATGGATTTTGCCCATGTTTTTTGGGTTCTCTGTAGGTCGGGCACAGGTCGCTGTCAGCCCCTTCCCTAATTAACAATAAGCCGAACGTTCGCCGATGGACCTTATTCCTAAGGGGCAAAGCGGCTTCTAATGAACCGCAATTTTCTCTGAAGCTGTGGGTGCAATGATGTCATTTGAAGGTCTAATTGGATGGGCGGGTCATATTCAAAGGTCCTCCCATCTTATAATTCGTTAGTAATATCTTTTGATAGAATGCTCATGAATATTCAATAGCGGTGGTGGCCTCTGGAACCCCACCATCATATCGCGTTTTCCATCTCGTTAAGCATATCCGAATTTCTTAGAACTCCATTTCTACCGTAATCGGCTATTTTTAAAGGACATCTGTCGCCCAAATTCAATTACTGAGACGTATTATTTACAGGCGGTAGGGGTGGCAGCGATGACAAAGACGAATGACGACACTCGAGGCGCAAGTCTCACGGCAGCAGCGAACGGTGGAAGCCGGAAAATGTCCACTGGTGGTTTGGTACCGTCGCTGAATCGACTACGGATACAGCAGAGCTTCAAGGCGGCCAGGCAAGTCTCTTCAGAATACATTGTACCCTTTGTGCACGGAAACAAGTACGTGTCCACTGCAGACTTCGCAATATAAGCGACGTCGACCTCTGAAAAATGTAATATGTAGTTTTCTGCCAACGGAATGATTAGCCGGTTGCAATTGTGTTCTGTCGATTGTCACTGGTTGGAGCTATCATTCATCAGCTATCACTCTAAACAGCTACTTATCACAATTTACTGGAAAGCCGTCGTCATTTGTGTCGTGGGATCTGTAGTGCAGAATTCCCTGGCCGCCGAATACAAAGGTTGCATTGATATTGGTCTAAGAGAACGTCAGATTGTGACAGATGATGTCAGGTGATACGAAATGATGCTTGGTGATGCTGCATGACGTGGGATGATGTTGGCTGATGTCAAGTGATGTCGGATGATGCTATGAAGTGTCAGATGATGTTAGATGATCTCTGATGATATTATGTGATCTCTGATGATATTGAGCGGTGTCATAAGGCGCCAGAAGATGTCAGTTGATACGATTCCCCAGATCTTCGCTGATGTATGGAGAATTGCGTCTATCAGAGAGAGAGAGAGAAAGAGAAAGAGAAGAGAGAAAGAGAGAGAGGTAACTGTCGATGCGGTGGATGAATTCCCAAGTTTTTTTTGGCATGGATTCCCACCAAGCAAAATAAAACTCAAAAATAGAATTTTTGAAAAAGCTCGAAGACTTCTGGAATATTCGCTTTGTTTTCTAGATGATCTAGTACTTAATCTTTTAGGCCAACAATCGGCGACGCCATCCTGAAACGTGCAATGAGCAATCGACCGGAAATGCGTACGTTCATGAGCCGGCTTAGCGATCAACAAATCGATATTATGGGCAAACAGTTCTATTCACTCATAGCCGACTCTGTCGAACACATTGAACACCCAGAAGCGGTGCGTTTCGGATTACTGTAGTTTGAAAAGTGTGCAAGTTTATAGAAAACATTTTACCCCGCTAGGACCTTCAGGCAAGGTCATCTGAAATTTCTGATAAGAATGGGTAGATTTAGGTTCAACAACATGCCAAAGCGTTCGGGGAATCCTATGCGGCGCTATGTCAACTTGGTTTCCGCCCTGACTATTTCGCCCCGCTGGCCGATGCTGCAATTGCGGAATGTGTCAAACTTGACGGCGGAGCTCACAAAAGGTTTGCACTAGTTTGTCTAAACATTTGTTTTACCACCACGAATTTTTTCCTAGCTGAAAAATCAGGGGTTTGCTTCCGCTTCACAATGCTGCTTCACTTTCGGAGTTCAGTTTCCTGACAGTCCTAACAATATTACCCCTTTATTGCTAAATTTTAAGCTTCCAAATTTTCTCACATAAAGTCAAATCGCATGTTTGTTAAGGATTGATTTTTCCTTAATATCACGTATCAAGGCAGGGCGGAGCGTAAATTACTCCGCGCACGGTTGCGGTGCGTGCTCATGAAAGAGCCACAGTCGGCTGTGATCGATTTTTTCGCTGAACGTGGTATAGTGTGGCCAGCGTTCTCCGCTTAGGTTTGACAGGTAACGCAGTCGTAACAGCGTTGAGGCTATATCATGACGAGGAAGGGAACCCAATTTTGAAGAAGAGTTCAAGTTAGGGTCAGCGGTCGCGTTCGCACTTTTCCAAAAATTTTGCGACACCACCTGCACCATCAGTCTTAGGAGGCTCTTCCTCGCCATGCGATACCCGTTCCCCCGTGATCACCACCCCCACATCATGGCTGTTATTGATTCGAGGCCAGTCGACACACACCCAACTCCGCCCACTTTTTGGTCCAAAACGGCCGTCGAGTGGGTAAATTGGTAATTGATATGAAGCAGCAAATCCAGCACTTCTATCTAGATTTACCCCCTTTTTGGAGAACTTTCGAAAACTTCAACCGAACTCATTCAAAAACCCGTCAAATATCGTCGACTACAACCTTCACTCTTTTTACAAACCCCCTCACATTTTTCTCAGAGATAGCTAATCTCGCTTGCTCAAACCCAAAATGCCAGCTTCCTCCAAAAATCACAAATGCGACCCCTCATTCGAATATTGCGAAGGGACGGTTGACCCTGGGTAGGAGGTTACGAAATACAATACTATGAGCTTCGCTTAACACCACTTGTTCGATTTTCTGACTGATGTGCTAGTCTAATGTGTAAAGAGGCAATTTTAAGTCAGAAGACAAGATTTTTCGACTAAAACTACTGAGAAGGTCTTCCGGAGTAGATTCTTTCTTCGCGGTTCCGCTAGCCCCGAGATTCTTCTTCCATTAGCCTCAGAGACAGGGTCGGGATCGAACTTGGGGGAAATTTTGTTTAGAAATTAGGCAAGAGTTGCGATGAGGAACGTCAGTGAAAAAAAATGCATGTTAGAAATCTTATATTTCCCTAGTGAGCTCGCATGTAGTGGGGCCGATGTCAGACTTTGCGAATCGCGCGATTCGCTAGCGTCCGCGGTCGCGTCGCGGCCAGTGAATCACTCAATTGGCTGGTACCGCAACGCGACCGCGGACGCTAGCGAATCGCGCGATTCGCAAAGTCTGACATTGGCCTCAAGAGGACATGGCGCTACGAGCGGGAGCAAACGCGAGGGAGCACTTCGTACGCGAGTGCGCGTTACCATCATGTATGCCGTATGCTGTATGCGAGCTATAAAAGTGGCAGTAGACAGTGATCAAGCGAAGAAATTAGCTCTCTTATCGCGCACTTCGAAGTCATGACCATCACTTTGTGATTAAGGGTCATGTCACTTCCTAAAACAGAGAAGTTCACTGTGAATCTGGTCGCGACCCCTGTCTTTAATCCTTAGCTCTCGGCTTTTTTGGGTAATTTGCACCAATGTGCCCCTCTCTCACGGCATAGTCCCTCAATGTCTATGGTGGTTTTTTTGTGCAGCATATAATAGGTTCTAAGAAACGGTATATAAATAGGAACGCAAACCGTTTTGCCCTTATTATAGCAATTATCCTCAATCTAATTAGAGCTTAGATAGATAGAGCTTAGATGTTAGCAATTTTTATAATTCAAAAGAATTCGGCTTCAGTCGACATCACTGTACCTGCAGCACAACGATGTGCACATGAATGAGAATTTATCTCCACCTGTTCTTCTACGCGGAATTGAAGCTATTTATAACTAGACTCGTGGCGGAAAGCCCTCGAATTCAATTAAATTAAAAATTTGAATGAATAATAAATAATAAGTAAATCAATAAATTGCATCTATACAATTCCCGGATCTATCTGTTCGAATTCATGGAATTCTCTGCATTCATTCCGTTGCAAGGCACTCAACTCACTCGAGCCCACGGTAAATATTCAAATGCGCTTTTGAAAAAAAGTACGCACTCCTTTTTGCTCAAGGGCATTGCTTCACCCAATTCGGAGCCTTGCTACAAAAATGAGATTACTGTAGGCGGCACGAACTATTGCCCCTTTATTCAGAGACACCCTTCTTATCATCGACGCAGACTTAAAGGCACATCAAGCGACTACCTAGGTGTACTGGTTAGGTACATGTCAGACTTTGCGACCGTTGCACTATTCTCCACAAGTGGCACTCGCGCCGCAAAGCAAGCAACACGATAACCCTTGGTGTAGTGCGCCGCAGGCTTCCACTACTGGAGTTAGTTATGACTGTTTCAGACTGACCTACTGAAGCGGGATTACGTTGCGGCTCGGCTGGCATTCGCACTGCAGTCGCGAAGCCTGACACCTGCCTCATTGCGCTTATAAATAAACAAATAAATAAATTGAAAGTGAAAATAAAATGGCGAAGTGAGCTGCCACTGACAAAAAGAAAAAAGCGTCTCAACACTGAATATAAGAACTTTTTCTGGGCGGTGGTCGAGCCCAGGTATCCGACAGGAGGCTCTTCGTGTGACAAAAGGGCAGACTCAGCGGACGAGTCGCAGCGCGTGATGTGCGATGTAGGACGTGCAATGGTACATTTAACTTGACGCGAAATCACTGCAGTACGCGCTGCGACTCGTCCGCTGACTCTGCCTGTTAGCGCCCGACGGGCCTCCTGTCGGGCAGTCGTCGAGTCCTATGTATAACGAAGAGACATTGGAGAGAACAAGCAAAGTGACGTTGAGCTTGCGCGTCACAAGCCAGAAGCCGGTTATGCCCTCACTCAGCAGAATTATTCGACAATATTTAGGTGTGAGACGCTGCTGGCATGGAGCCAACTGATCAGCGCTATTTTCACATCAGTTCGAGACGGTTATTACAGTCGTGTACGCTATCAGAGACGGTTAGTTTCTTCTGCTTCTTCACAGCACTTTGACGGTTTTCGTAATTTTTTGTTGCTTCAAAATATTGTACATTTTATTGATTTTTTTGCTCGAGAATTCTCCAATTTTTAGGTCATCACTGCCACAAGGAATGATCTCGAAACAACTATCGATTGATCTTACAAGAAGCATTGACCATGACGCTTATATACAGTGAATAATGATCACGTATCGCCAGTGTACTTCGTTGGGCTTGAAATCTCACTTTCTCAATTGCGTAATTGATTCGCATCAGTGTTTATAGTTTGCTCTAAGTCTGAACGTAGATATCCGGGCGCAGAGCAAGGAAGTCACCTCGCGATGTCGCGATCAGTTGGGGTTAAAACTGTCGCGCCAAGTGGGGGAGCCCGTCCTCTTTGCCGTGTTTCGACGCGCTGCCTTCCTATTTACGGAGTGAAAACAGCGTCGATGCGACTCTGTTCTCTCTGCGACTCTAAGCGGTAGCGCGCTTTGTTAGGCAGTCCATCAACATTTGGCGCGCAATTTGAATTACAGCTAGGTGCGACGTCGCGTGGTGACCTCTTATTGCACATTCGGATGCCCTTGCTCTGGTGAATGTGTTTGTCGTGCCAAAATGGAGCTGGTATGGTTTAGGGGGTTCAGCGAGCTTGGAGCTGATTGCAATCTCAAAATCAAGCGCTTGACTGTACATTTTATTCTGAAACCTTTAGTGGCTGTCTTAATGTGTATTGATTGATTTGAGCTTGACGTCTATGACGGCAGTCGGTCTCAGCTAAAGAAACGGTGTCTGCCGGCTTTTTTGTACATATGTGGATCGTTGATCCTCTCTTATATATTTGTTCTAGATAGTAAT